TGTTAATTCCCTCCAGTGCCTTTTTTTAAAAGGTTTTTTTTTTTTTTTTTTTTTAGATAGAGAGTGCAAGCAGAGGGTGAGCAAGAATCCAAAGCAGTATCTACGCTGAGCACAGAACCCAATGTAGGGTTTGATCTCATGACCCTGAGATCATGACCCAGGCAGAAACCAAGAGTCTGATGCTTATCCAATTGAGCCAACCAGGCCCCCCCCCCCCACACACACATATACATACCTTCTAGTGCATTTTTGATGTCAGTTATTGTAGTCTTCATTTCTGGTTGAAGGGCGCCCTGTTAGGATGGCTGAAGTGGGTACAAGCTGAGTTCCCTGAGGACACTGAGTTCAGGGGGCACTCTGGTGGGTGCATGGAGTTGAGTTGGGTGCAGGCAGGGGTGTCCTGGGGTGCTTCACACAGAGGGTGCTCTGATACGGTTCAGGAGTCGAAATGTTGAATACTTTTTCATTGAACTGTTGGCCACTTGTATATTTTCTTTGCAAAAATGTCTATTCAGAGACCCTTGATTTTTTTTTTTTTTTGCTATAGAATTGTAAGAGTTTCTCATATATTTTTTATATTAACTCCTTATCAGATATATGGATTGCAAGTATTTTCTCCCATTTGGTAGGCTATCTTTTCATCTTGTTTCCTTTGATGTGCAAAGGCTTTTTATTTTTATATAATCCTACTTGTCTAGTTTTGCTTTTCCTGTCATATCCAAAAAATTATTGCCTAGACCAATGTCCACGAGCTTTTTATTTCCTTCTAGTAATTTGACATTTTGTTGATTGTTGTATTTAGTGGAAGATACAGGTCCAATTTCATTTTTCTGCATGTGGATAACAAGTTTTCTCAGCACCACTTGTTGAAGAGGTCATCTTTTCCCCATTTGTGTTCTTGGCACCCTTGTTGAGATCAGTTGACCAAAGAAGCTTGAATTTTTCTGGGCTCTCCATTCTATGCCACTTGGCCCTATGACTATTTTATGAGAGTACTCTACTCTTTTAATTACTATAGCTTTATAATATCATCTTAAACCAAGGAGTATAATGCCCCCAGCCCTATTATTTCTCAATATTGTTTTGGCTATTTGGAGTATTTTAGGATTCCAAATGATTTTGAGGTGTTTTTACTATTTCTCTAAATAATGCATTTGAGATTTTGATATGGCATTGAATCTATGGATCACTTTGGGTAGTTAGGACATTTTATTTGCTGTTTTTCTAGTTTCTTAAAATCTAAAGTTAGGCTGTTTGACTTCACTCAGATGTGGAATTTAAGCAGAGGGTGAGTGAGAATCCAAAGCAGTATCTACGCTGAGCACAGGACCCAATGCAGGGTTTGATCTCATGACCCTGAGATCATGACCCAGGCAGAAACCAAGAGTCTGATGCTTATCCAATTGAGCCAACCAGGCACCCCCCACCCCACACACACACACATACACACCTTCTAGTGCATTTTTGATGTCAGTTATTGTAGTCTTCATTTCTGGTTGAAGGGTACCCTGGTAGGATGCCTGAATGGAATCTCCCATGCATAGGGGGAGGGGGGAAAAAAGAGAGGGAAGCAAACCCTAAGAGACTCTTAACTATAGAGAACAAATTAAGGGTTAATGGAGGGAAGGTGGGTGGGGGATGGGCTAAATGGATGATAGGTGTTAAGGAAGGTACTCATGATGAGCACTGGGTGTTATATGTAGGTGATGAATCACTAAATTCTCCTGAAACCAATATTACACTATATGTTAACTAACTAGGATTTAAATAAAATTTGAGAAAGAAATTTAGGCTGTTTGAGATTTTTATTTCTTTTATAATGTAGGTATTTAATACAATAAACTTCCCTACTAACTTCCTTAGTAATGCTCTTGCTGCATCCCATAAGTTTGGGGAAGTTGCATTTTCACATTTGTCTTAAGTATTTTAAAATTCTTTTTAATTTCTTCTTTTACCCAGTGGTTAAGCATGTGTTGTTAAGTTTCTATATTTTTGTGAATCTTCCTGTTTTCTGTTATTGATTTCTAGTTTCATTCCATTGTGTTCTGAGAAGATATTTGGTACTATTTCAATCTTCTTAAATTTGTTAAGACTTATTTTGTGATCTAATATATAGTCTCTCTCATAGAACATTCTGTGTGCTTGAGAAGAAAATATATTCTGCAGATGTTGGATGGGAAATTCTGTTTATGTCTCCTAGGTCTATTTTGTTTATAGTGTTTAAGTGTGCTGTTTTCTTACTGATTTTTTTGCCTGGATGTTCTATCCATAATTTAAAGTAGGGTATTTAAGTCTTCCACTATAACTGAATTGCTATTAATTTCTCCCTCATATCTGTCAATATTTGTTTTAATTTTTTGGGTTCTCTGATGATGGGTATATATATATTTATAATTGTTATATCTTCCTGTTAAATTGAAAATTTACTATTTAATAACCTTCTTTGTCTCTAGTGACAGTTTAATTTTATTTTTTTCTGGGGTGCCTGGGTGGCTCAGTTGGTTAGGCATCTGCCTTGGGCTCAGGTCATGATCTTGGGGCCATACGATCAAGCCCAAGGGAGTTGGCTTCTCCATCTGCCCATCTGCTTCACCTGCTGCTTGTGTTCTATCTCTCCCAAATAAATCTTTAATATAAAATAGCATCAAAACAATACGACACATAGGGAAAATTTAATCAAGGAGGTGAAAAAGCTGTACACTGAAAATAAGACACATAAATGGAGAGATATCCTATATTTATAGATTTGAAGAATATTGTTAAAATGTTCATCATTTTCAAAGTAACGTATACATTTCATGCAATCCCTAATTAAAATTACAATGCCATTTTTTCACGGAGAATAGAACAATTTATATGAAATTAAAAAATAAAATTCAGAATAGTCAAAACAATTTTGAGAAGGAACAAAGCTAGAGACCTTATATTTCCTGATTTCAAACTGTATTACAAAGCTATAGTAATAAAAATATGATATTGGGTAAAAACAGACACATAGATCAATAAAACAAAACTCAGAAGCAAAAGCACACAAATGACCAATCAATTTACAGCAAAGAAGCCAAGAATATACAACAGGGAAAGGACAGTCTCTTCAATAAACAGTGCTTGGAAGACTAGATATCCACATGCACAATAATGAAACTGTACTCCCAGCTAACCCTATATGCAGAAATCAACTCAAAATGGATTGAAGACTCGAATGTAAGCGCTGGAACTGTAAAACTTCTAGAAAAACAAAACAAAACAAAACATACAGGGTAAGCTCCTCGACTTCGGTCTTGGAAATAATTGTTTTAGATTTAACACCAAAAGCAAAAACAACAAAAACAAAAATAAACAACTGGGACTACATCAAACTAAAAAGCTTTTACTCAGTAAAGGATACCACCAATAAAATGAAAAGGTCAACTTATGCAATGGGAGAAGTGTAAATCACATACAATAAGAGGTCAATACCCAAAATATATGAGGAACTCCTACAACTCAATAGCAATAAACAAAAACAAATAACCCAATTTAAAAATGGGCATAGGACCTGAATTGACATGTTTCCAAAGAAAACATACAAGTGGCCAATAGATCCATGAAAAGGTGTTCATCACTAATCATCAAGAAAATATAAATCAAAACCACAAGGAGATATCACCTCACACTAGTCAGAATGGCTAGTATTAAAAGAGATACTAAATGCTGATGAAGATGTGAAGAATAGGGAACCTTTATATACTGTTGGTGGGAATGTAAAATGGTAAAACCACTATGGTAAACAGCATGTAGTTTCCTCAGGAAAATTTTTAAAAACTAAGTAAGATCCAGCAATCCCACTTCTGGGTGTATATTCAAAGGAAACAAAGCCATTATCTCAAAGAGATATCTGTACCCTCCCTTTTATTTCAGCATTAATCATGGTAACCAATGTATGGAAACAACTTAAGTGTCCATCAATGGATGAATGGATAAAGAAATTATGGGATATAGTCTTAGAAAAGAAAATCCTATCATTTGCAACAACATGTATGAACCTAGAGGGCAGTATGCTAAGTGAAATAAGCCAGATAAAGATATATACTTCATGGTACCACTTTTATGTGTGAAATAAACAAACCCAACTGCAAAGAGGGTAAAAGTGATTGCCAGGGGTTGGGGGTGGAGGAAATGGGGAAAATCTGGTAAAAGAGTATAAGCTTTCAGTTACAAGATGAATAAGTCTAAATTTCTATTGTATAACATGGTGTGTTTCTAGTTGATAGCAAATTTTAATTACACAATACAGTGTTAACTGGAATTTGCTAAGAAAGTAGAACTTAAATATTCTCACCAAAAAAGGGAAGAAACAAGAGGTCATGGATGTGTTACTTAACTCAGTTGGAGGAATCCTTTTCACAGTGTATGCACACATATATCAAGTCATCATGTTGTACACTTTAAATCTTACAGCTTTGTCAATTACACCTGAATAACACTAGACAAAATATCATTCTGAATCTTTTCAGGCAATTCATGTATCTTTATTTCTTAGGGTTGGTTACTAGAATTATATTGTGTTCCTTTGGTGATGTCATGTTTTCCTGCTTTTTTGTTTCTTATAGTCTCGTATCTGTATATATGCTTTCAAAGGAGCATTCACCTTTTCCATACTTCAGGGAGTGACTTTGGTGGAGAAATATCTTTGCCTGCAGGTGGGCATGATGACCTTGCCTTGGGCAGTTTGTCGAATAAGTCTGGGGCCCAGACATGTGCATAGTGGCTCCAGGTTTTGCAGGGAAGCCTCAAGTGAAAGGGGTACCAGTGGGGGCTTCAGAGAACTGTGTCAGCTGGGGTCACCATTGGTGAAGACTGGGAGTCCTCGGTGACAAAGTCTACTATAGTTCTGCTCTCCTTTTGCCCCATGGGGTGGGGAGAAGTAGTAGCCAAGGGAATTAGGGAATTCCTCTTGCCCCTGAAAGGCATAGGCCTGGAGGGTAGGGTGAGGCAGGTAAAATGCTTTCTATACTTACTATGCAGCGGTCTTTGGTTTTTGTGCTCTTTTGGGTTGCTGCAACTTCTTCACTGTCATCTGAAGTTTTCCCAGAGTTATTTTCATCTGTGGGTAGAGGTTAAATCATTGTTTTGTGGGATACCAATGCTGCAATCCCCTAGTCAACTAAATTGTTGCCATTACGATTCAAAAACTAACGAATACTTTTGAAGACAGATTAAAGTGGTGTCTGTAGATGGAGAATAAACAATAGCTTTTAAGGGATTGATCTCTTTTAATAATTAAGATAAAATTAAGGCCTCTTTAAGAAACCCTTTGAAGAAGAAAAAAAAAAACAAACCCAAGCTGAAAACAGCATAGTAAAAGTAGGCTGTAAAATAATTAAAAAACAAAAACTACTCAACTGAGGGGGAAAAAGAAAAAAAAAAAAAACTATTCAACATGAATTTAATTGAATCAATACCTTGAGAATTTATCCTGGTTACCCGGTAATTTGCTGGGAAAGTTGATCTTGACTGGATAGAAACACAAACTACCCAATGTAATAGCTTTAGGGCTTTTGCTTTTGTTCTGAACTACAGGTAAAATGAGGATTGAAGGGTTTGTGCTTTAAAGACTGAATATTCTATGTAAGTCAACTCTCCACAGATTTATTAAAAAACAGGAAAAAGTAAGTTCTGAAGCAGATTTAATTAAAACTCAGCTAGTCATTAAACACGTGATAAAGCCCCCCCCCCCCCCCAAGGATCTAAGATAGTTTACTATTCTCTTAAAAATACTTTAACATTAATCAATGTAAGTCATTTTTTACATAGGTCAAAAAATTTCTGTATAATGGTTTTTAAAGTATGAAATTGCCAAAATTCTACTGTATTGACCTATAAAAGTGGCAATTTTATATTTTAACCTAATGGATGAAATGTGGATTTTATGTTTTAACAGGTTGTCTTCCTCTTATCTATTTTGGAAAAAAATATTATCATCTGGCAGCATAATTCATTAAGCTACCACTAACATAAAGGGCAGAAAAATACCCAAGTCAGAATAAAACATACTTTAAATCTGTGCTCCTCCCCATTTTTCACAGTTGATGTCCTGCAGAACAGAACATTTATTGATTTTGGCCACACTGGCTACTATCTCTCTCTGCATTTCTCCTGCTGTCTCCCTCTCCCATTCTTTCCCCCTACTTCTGACTTGTTAAATGCAGGAAGCTACCACATTTAGCTGATTTCATATAGGTGTAATGTTACATTGTATGTGTAAATTCTAAAAGCTCTAAACAGATATTGTTTACTTAACATGCTTTTTAAAAATATTATGAGTTGTAACATGCACATTAGGAATTAATAAAGACCATTTATAACTGTACTTATGAAAGAGTTTTTTAAAACCAATTTTTAAATAGATGTAATATAGCACAGATTTCTAGAATAGAAATTTCTGCCTCCAACTGTTCACGTAACAAATTAGGAATGATACATTTCCTCAATATATAATAGGGTAAAGCTTAAGAGGCTATTAGAAAGAACATGGCCTTATCTTTAATATACTTTCATATTAAAATTTTGGATTAAATGAAGCCAAAGAAAGTTATTTTAGATTACAAACTGATATTTTCTTCAATACACATTTCAAATTCTTTCTCATTCAGTATCCATGCTAAGTAAAGTAGAAGTAAATGCGGTAATTTTCCTGGATTTTCGTTTTGCCATTTCAAGTCTAAATTTTCAGACTTGTTGAAGATGTCGGAAATCAGCAATACCAAGGGTCCTAGACTAAAAACTAATAATAATAATAATAATAGTAGTAAAATTTTTAAAAAGTAACTTCTCTCTCTAGCCAAAGGAACAGAAAAGAAAAGCTTTTAGAAAATAACCACTTTTACTCCACTGGCTCCACTCCCACCAAATGCCAGCAAAGGCTAAACGGGGAGCCAAGGTTTCCACATTTGCTAGGGTATAAGAAGGCACTGCAAATCCCCTACCTGGGTGGGGTCAAAGAAGTCCAAGTAGAGATGGAGGACTTTTATCTCTGCTGGGCTATAATAAGCCTTTCCCCCCTCACAGAGGTCAATAAAGACCATGTCGAGAGCTTGGATCTCTACCCCCACCCAACAGAAGACAACCCTTCTCTTCTCCCGCAGTGTTGTCAGAAAAGGCCTGGTTCAGAGACAGGATTTTGACCACCATGTAACAGGAATGAGCTGCTTATTTCCACAGTGTTAGTGGAAGCCACACAGGGAACCTGAACTTCCACAATCCCTGGTAGTAATGAAGTGGTGCACACCCTTCCCTTGCCAGAGGACGGTCATAGATCCAAGTGGTGCACACCCTTCCCTTGCCAGAGGACAGTCATAGATTCAAGTGGTGCACACCCTTCCCTTGCCTGAGCATGGTCATAGATCCAAAGTCTCATATATACAAAATATCCAGCTTACTATCAAAATTCGCTTGTCATATTGGGAACTAAGATTTCAAACTGAAGGAAAAAGACAAATACCAACACAAAAATGACTTGAGAGGTTTAAATGCTCTGACAAGGAGTTTAAAGCAGCCATAATAAAAATGTTTCAACAATAATTACAAAAATAGTCTCTTCAAAAAAAAAAAAAAAGTCTCTTCAGAGAAACAGAAGGTCTCGGCAAAGACTGAAGACAATAAAGAACCAGATGCAAATGTTAGAAATGAAAAATACAATACCTGAATAAGAAACTTGAGTGGATGGGACCAACAGCAGCATGAAAGGGGCAGAGAAAAGAATTCGTGTACTGTAAGACAGAACAATAGAAATGAACTAAACAGCAAGAAAATCATTGAAAAAAATTAAAGCTTCAGAGATCTGAAAGACTATTTAAAAATTTTAACATTCGGGGCGCCTGGGTGGCTCAGTCGTTAAGCGTCTGCCTTCAGCTCAGGTCATGATCCCAGGGTCCTGGGATCGAGCCCCGCATCAGGCTCCCTGCCCAGCGGGAAGCCTGCTTCTCCCTCTCCCACTCCCCCTGCTTGTGCTCCCTCTCTCGCTGTCTCTCTCTCTGTCAAATAAATAAATAAAATCTTTAAAAAAAAAAAAATTTTAACATTCATGTCATTAGCATTCCAGGAGAGAACACAGATGATAGAGCTACAAAAAAAAAAAAAAAAAGTAGTCAAATAAATAATAGCTGGGAATTTTTGTATTTGTCAAACTATAGAAATCTAGAGATTCAAAAATTAGAGTAAACTACAAGCAAAATGAACCCCCAAAAATCCACACTAAGACACATCCTAAACTTCTGAAACTTAAAGAAAAAGGAAAAAAATCTTAAAAGCGGTATGAGAGAAATTTTGCCTATGGGGAAAAACAATTTTAATGATATCAGATTTCTCATCAGAAACCACAGAGCCCAGAAAATGACAGAATATTTTTCAAGTGCTAAAAGAAAAGATCTGTCACGTCATATCCTTCAGAAATGAAGATGAAAAAAGACATTTTCAGATGAAGGAAAACTAAGAGAATTGGTCTTCACCTGACTTACCCTAAAAGAATAGCTAAAGGAATATCTGTAAAGAGAAAGGAAACCCCTTAAAAAAAATGAATTTCAGACATCAGGAAGTACAAAAGTGGAAAGGTTGAAAGTTTGTTTTCTTTCTTTCACTGAAAGAAACATGTCAGAGAAAAAGAGAAATGTAGCTTCCTAAAGGTTGTTTTTCAAAATTCTAACACCTTTTCTCTAGGTATTATATTTGCATGATTCTATTGTTGCTTTTTGTTTTGAATCTTATTTTCCATTTTCTTATAGATTTTTTTCAAGGAATATATTTTTTTTTAAAATCAGGCAAAATAGTAAAGCTCTTTTCATTTTGAAAAACAAAAGAAAAATCCTATATAATAGTGAGCAGCATTATTACATCTAATTCAAATACTGACACCTTCGGGAATATTTTATACCATTCCATCATAGTGTTGACTTCTGAGAGGAAAGGAGACAGAGCAAATAAAAAAGGAAAATTAAGACATGATTACACTGCAAACAACATATATTAGATCCTTGTGCTATAAAACAATTCATGTACACGATGTCCTAAAAGGGGCACATGTATTTGTTATAGAAATAATTTGCCTTTAGCGACAAGTATATATATATATACACAAAATTGTTTTGGGATTTAGGTGCAAAAACCTAAACACTTTTTTTTTTTTTTATAATGACACTGTAATGGGGTAGAATCAATGAAATAAAACATAACACAAAAAATAGTTGGATTTATAGAACAAGAGATTTATATTTTGCCTACCTAGAGTAAATATCTATGCTGATTTGCTCAATTGATTTGCAGGTTTGGGAGTATATACTTTTGTTGTTGTTATGCTATGTGTCATAGTAGAAAACCTATCATACCATCTATACGCTTTTGGGAAATGTATTACATCTTAACCTTTAAGTTTCTCTAACTCAGTATCATGATCATAAGACCTAATTTTCAGGATTGAGGTGAACATCAGGATATATCTATGTACTAAAATACTCAGCTTTTTAAAAAATATTAAGTTCTAATACTGACTTTTTTAGTTATTCTCATGTTCATGCTAAGAAATATTATAAATTCTAAAAATGTAATTCTGGTGAATTGAAATGCCTTTTAGAAACTGCAATAATAAACACAGAAACTGGATTTGCCGAGGTCAGGGATAACTTCATAATCTTATTTCAAGCACACCAAAAATACTTGACAAAAAAGTTTCACATAATCATTGAGTAAATATATATTTAAAAAAATAAAAGTGCCAATATGACTTAGTACAATTCAAATTCTGATGGAATATGCCTTTTTACTTAAGACAAACACTACAAAAAATACAAAATATTATGGGCTTACCCATTAATGGTTAAGGGGAAAAAAAAAAACACATTTGCCTTGTGGTAAGTTTAGCTAACATGAGTTTCTATGAAAATACTCTTTGTATTCATTATACATTTTATATCACTAAAATTTATTAAAGGGTATATAAAAACAAAATTTCAAAGAGTTGTTATTTAGAAACATTATCTCCCATTGCGACTTAAAGAGTTGAATCCAAATAATAAAACTGAAATTCAAGCCACATTTTATATGCAACTGAGAATTTTATGCATTAGAACCTAGTTCTTTTAGACTAAATCAGACGATCTGGGTTATATTTTGGCTCCAAGACTTACCAGTTGTGTTACCTTGCTCAATATCTCTAAGATTCTGTTTTCTCCCTTTATGATTGCTAATATTAGCTATTTCTAAGTATTGCCTGAGTACTGAATGAGCTACCTGGGCACTTAGCCTCCAATAAGTGTATTTGTTTGTATTATCACCAATATCATTTTAATTATATTTAGGCATAATTATCAATCAGGTAAGTAAAACTACTCTAATTTGACAACTTCTCACTCTTTGAAACATTACTGGCCTTTTCAATGAAAAGTACATTGTTCCTTCAGTAATATCACAGACTATGTCACTCAGTGTTTTTATTATTATTTGACACTGATACTCTATGCTTCTTTACAGATCTAAAATCTATTTTATGCCATCTGTAATCACAAAAGTTTTACAAAGAAAAGTTTCTGGCTTATTGATTTTGTTTATATTGTGCTCATTTGTCCACTGGTCCCAAGCTAATCTTAATACATTTGGTAATAAAGCTTGACCAGAACTGATGTCAGGCTTTGTAAGGTTTTTATTTATCTCACATATGTGGGATAATTTTGGTCCCTATGTAATCAGTAATTGATTATTGAATGATAGGAGTGTTTTATTTAAATGGTTTATACATTCAGTATCTTTCTAAAAGTTCAAAATTCATCTGACTTCAAGGTTTCATAAAATGGATTACAGACTTGTTTTAATTTCAGTTATTTTCATGTAATTGCACATTTCTTCATATATTTAACATTTGAATAATAAATGAGATATAATATTCATACTATGCACAATAAATAAATCTAATATAACCAAGCAGCTTTAAGAGAATGAAACAATTATCTTAAATGATAATCCATTTTACATAGAAATGAGTAATTTTGGCACCCAGTTAACTTATTCAAAAATAATCAGGAATGCTTTGGAATAATCACTTCTAAAATACTGTAAGTCAAGAAACTATATTTAATTCATACACATGTAAAGCAACTATGTCTTTTTTTTTTTTTTTT